ATGGCCGACGTGGCGGACGCGGAAGCGGCCGCCGCGGCCGCCCGCGCGGCGGTGCTCCGGAACGACGAGGACGCGCTGCAGCAGGCGGAGGACGCCAGGCAGGCGCTGCAGGCGAACGGCGGCGAGGCAGCGCCCCGGCGAAAGCGCCGTGAGTTTTGGGTTTGCAACTTTGCGGCCTCGAATTTGCCTGGAACGTGTCGTGTTGTGAATATATTTATCTACAACAATGTATTATACGTGTGCACTTACTTGTATGTTTCTTTGAAGGCATGCAAAAAGATGAGCTGCGCACGGCCGTTCTCCAGTCTTTGCGTCTGAGTCTGAAGTGCTCGCTAGGTCGCACGCCTTCCGACCACCAGTAATTTGGTTTCAGGTCATTGCTCCCGGGGTTGCCCTTGAAAACAACCTGAGTGCCCCGTTTACGTGGCAGTCACTCACTCTACAGGGTGCGCAATGTGATCGCGTTGCGATGTGATACTTGGCATGTAGCACGGGCTGAGCCAGCCACAATGACAGGTCCTGCTTCAGAACTGCTCAGTACTCGCCCGGGCGCAGCAACTTCTTTGTATTTCGGACCCGACAACTCATTTTGTCATTCCTGATTGCGAGCTGCCCTGTGCCACCCTCTTGAACATTTGGGTGGCCGTTAAGTATCAGGAGTCGAGAAATTGGCTGTTTGAGACTAAACCTGTGCAAAGCCAGGGCTCGACTCCAGCAACCATCCGTCAATACCAATACTACGCCACGCAAGACTGAAACAATGCTAACATGCTATTTACAGCTCAACCGACTCAACCACAACTAGTCCTGAGCCCATAGTAAAAAACCGGCGCTAGACCAAGCCAATGATGAGTATTGAAGGCAAGACATACCGATTCGAAAGGGTTGGCCGCGCTTTGTGCTTGCGCCTTGTCAACTTGTTCCTTCTTGGTCTTTTTGGTGGCTGCGCACGTTCCGTTGCACAGCGAAGGGCACGCTTTGCACTTGTTGGCTTATGGCGCTCTTTAGCCGGCCGGCTGGCGTGTGCGTGTGTGCGCGGGTGTGTTTGTTTGTTTGCTTGTTTGCTTGTTTGTTTGTTTGTTTGTTTGTTTGTTTGTTTGTTTGTGTTTGTGTGCCTGTGCCTGTGCCTGTGTTTCTGTTTGTGCGTATGTGTGTGCCTGTGCGTGTAGAGCAGGAATTGGCCGCACACCGCGGCTTGAGGCACGTTGCGAGCAAGATCAAGTTTCGCAAGCAGGTTCTGTGTTTCTAAACATGAGTTTTGGTCCAGGAAAGCTACTGTTTCGAAACCTCTGATTTTGGCTTCGTTTCCAGCTCCGCCGCGGAAACGGCTCAGCCACTGCGAAAAATTCGCCGCGGCCACGGCTCGCCACCGGATCCGCCACCTCCAGCACTAGGCCTGCCGTCACCCACGGAGATTCACGCAAAGGGCTTCCGCCCGGGGAAGCTAGCTAGTGTTTGTTACTTTCGTTTAGGAACGTCTGACTCGCTCCATACTCCATGAGGGCAATCACCTGTTGGCGTGGGTGATATTACGATCGCAAGCTTGTTCCAGATTGCGCCGCCACACTCCTGCTGATGGCCGGCCAGCTGAGGACTTTCTCGCCTGGTTAGTCACAACCTTGCGGCAAGGCCGCAGGTATGCAGACGCCTTGCGCGCTCGACTCAGACTTAATTCTGCGTGAGTTCCTGGGAGGAGTTCTGCTCAGGTTTTGCAAGACGACAGCTGGAGCTTTGGAGGGAAGCACAAGCACTCCCAGAGGTGCGCACAGCAATGGCGTCAATAGAGCATATAATTTTGATCATGTCTTTGAGCCGCTTGCATGGAAACTAGAGGAAGTTGTCAAAACCTAAGCAGATGAGCGAGTTGTCAATAGTAAAGTCTGCGAAGCTGCCTTAACTTGACCGCTCCTTTACTCCAGGTAGCACAGACCCTGTGTAACATCGGCGAGCTTTGCGTCGCCTTGGATCAGGCGGCTGCGAGTTGCTAGCTGCATGCGGTCGTGCAGCAGTTTGGCGCTCACAGGCTGTGAAATTATCCTTCACGCACAGGTGGCAGAAGCCACTGAAGCGGGCAGCGCAGCAGAATCCATCTTCAAGCGTTTGAAGGAGCGTGCAGTTGAGAGATATTGAGTCGTGGCATGTCGTTGGCTGCAATTATGATGTACGTGTAGTTGACCAGAAGTGGTGCCAGGATCACCGTGGGGAAGCGCGCGTTTTGCTTCACATTGCCAGCAGCTTAGTCTGACATCCGGAAATTCAGCGTTGAATGACACAGACGCATGTTCGCGCCTTGAAATCTGAGATTCCGAGCCTCAAGGCACAGCCTGGCTGTAGGGTTGCCAAGCAAATCAGGTGGCCAAAGTCGAGCTGCTTAAAGGCCAGCCCGCGCGGGCCTTGGAGCAAACACAAGTCTCCTTGAGCGTCAGTCCCAAGGATGTTGCCCAGCTGGCAGCCAAGCAGGCCGCACGCGTGAACTCGGAAACATGGCCCAACTGGGAAGGCAAATGCTTAGGCAAGGAAGGTGGAAGTTGAAGGATTCATTGTGTTTGCCAACGATGTGTGTAAATTTCGGATTATACCCAAATGAGCAAAGAAGGATTTGCAAGCTTGCCTGCAGGCAGCATCGCTGTCGCGAGCCGGCGGCGACGCTTTGGGTGAAGCCAACGCGCCGCACTCTCAGCTGCAAAAGCTCGCCGCAGGCAACTCGGCTTTCGGATTTCCAGGCTACGACTCCAAAACCTCAACAGACCTCCCTGACTGCCAACATGCCAGTGCCAAGATGTGCCATGTTGACGCATGTGGACACCTCCCACATTTGATAAACATACTTTCTAGTCTTTGATCCTGGCCGACGGCCACATTCGCATGCAACTGTTTCATAAACCAAGCAGCCGCACAACGCCGGTTTGCATACCATTCCACCACTCAAGCGCGGCCAAGGCTGAGAACCTTGGCTGAGCAGCACGTGCACCTTGCTTGCTGTGCTCATGGGGCACGTGGGGGAGGTAAACCGCCGGCCTCGCGGCCTCGCCAGGTGTCAGCCGGAGAGCACGGCGAAGCCCTTCAAGTTCTCGGGGAGGCCATCAACCAGATTGGGGATGAGCCCGTTGTCAGCGAACCCGGAGGTGTTGTGGCCAAGCCGCAGCCAGGCGGCCGTGCGCTTTAGGAAGGCCAACGAGGAGGTGCTGCTGGCAGAGATGCCGCGTCCAAAGAACAGGTTCTTGCATCCATGGCTACATGTTTTTGATGACCATTTCAGAGCAGACTCGAGTTTCCAATTTGGTTTAGTACTGCTGGAGCTTCCTTTTGTTGTTGTTTTCTTCAGGGGAGCCAGGCAACAAAACTTCACCGTCGGGGGCCCCTGAAATGATAAAGTATTGGGCTTGAAGTTGAGATCCTGAAGAACTATCTACCCACTTTGGGTTTGTTTTCCGGCAGATTTCAAGCAAGAGACATGTAAGAACACATGAGTTTGTGGAAGTTGAACATGTTTGATTTTGGTGAGCCGGCCCAAATCTGACAACAGCCTGAAGCTTCACCAGCTTTTCTCTCTTTCTTTCTATTTCTTCTTTTTCTCTCCGTTCTTTGTTTTTCACAAACAGCAGAGTTTCTCCACAAAAAACACAGGGGCTGCGGGACGAGGGACCTGTCCTTTTTCTAGTTGCATTTGTTGATGTTTTCGAGCCACTCGTTTGTCTTCATTCCGGGCTCTATCATTTATCCTAGATTCACCATGTCCAGCTTGCGGCAGCTTCGAGGAGTCGACTGCTGGACATAATAGGCTTCGCAACTCTCCTAGTTCGCAAGTCACGTGATGCGACATGAGGCTCATAGCTGCTGTGGGCGTGCACCTGGACGTCGGGCGCCTGCCATGGACTTGGTTTCGCTTGTGGACGAGAATCGCTTGTTCAGATCCTTGTGCTATAGCGACGTGCCACGTGCCATTGAATGCTTACAGCACGGGCCTATGCAAAGCCGGCTCAGTACGGTGTGCTTGACCCAGGTCGCAAGCGCGCAAAGCAGCCGATGCAGTGCCCTTCCAAGTTTCGGGTGGTTTGCCGCTTTGGTTCAAGTTGCTAATAGCTACTGACAAATACTTGTCTAAATGCCCAAGTTGCTTTAACGAAGCTTAAAAGGCGTGAGTGCAGTCCAATTTGGGCCTTGTTTGAAGTCTTTATCGGCACTGAAGTCACGGCCAAAGGGGCCAACTATATTGGCGAATGACTCTGCCGCGCAACGCCTCCATGAGGCCTTGGCGGTGTGCCGCAGGCTGAAGGCCCCGACCCCAGAGGCAAGCTAGTTTGATCAGCTGACTTTCCTGTGATGGGTTCTGTTTGCCTCACTGGTTGACGTACTGGCACAAAACAAATTGCCTGCCAAACAGCTCGCCTGGCAAGCCCACTGGCCTTGCGACACCCCCTCAGGCTGCAAACTTCAAAGGGATGCTTGACTCTCTTCCAACCAGCGGCAAAGCACAAAGAAGCAAGGCCGCGGCAAGGCCCCTTCAACAGATGGCTATGAACTATTCGTGGGGAACCCCTCAGAACTGGTTGGACAGACATCCCCCCGTTTTCTGCAGCCCACTGGTGCCACCAACACTTAGAATTCACACCCCTCGCACCTCGCGGTAAACCTCACCTGGGGCTTGGGAAACCTGAGGCCGGCGAAGCGCAGCTGGCTGCTTGCCTTTGTTCCTCTGCCAGGTGCCATCAGTGGGTGTCAATCGGGTAACATCGGGTCACCCAATGGCTTGCCCTAAATGGAAAGGACGAACACCTGCGGTCCAACTGGTGGTTTGATTTTGACTACCTAAGTGGATCAGAGCAGTGCTTGTCTTGGACCCCCCGCTCTTGCGATCGAACCTTTGGCCTAGACCAGACGCCATGATTGAGCAGCATGCAATGCACAACATATTGGCCGTGGCATCTTCATCCGTGGATTGGGTTGGCGCCGTGTCGTTAAGAGAGTAATGCAAACACGCAGCACACGCCTACACACCAACAAAACTTAATCCCTGCCTACGACATCAGCGGTCAAGCTGCACAGGGCACACTTGGCGGACGGAGATGTTCGAAGTTGGTCCGCCGCGTCGGAAGAGGCGAAGGAGGCAGGCAGCATGCATTCATGATGCGGAGTCTAGCCCGTATTTTTTGACGGGTTTTCATTCCTCGGCTACGAATCAGCCGCCTAACTGGTCCTGTTGGATTTGGGTCGGCTGGATGGCGGTTTGCTGCTGAATCTGGAGCCTTCTTCAACGCCTCCCAGAAGGCGCCACTTTGACGCAGGGAGGCCTTGCTTTGCGCAGGCGCGGGAGATCAGTGCCCAGATTCAGGACGTCCCAGCTTCAGAGGGTCCAACATCCAGGTTGCGTGCCTGGTCCCCAAGCATACATAAATTTAGATAATACCATCAAAGTTTGAATCACTGTCACCCCTACTGGCTGACAAATTACGAGTTGCGCCACCTACGTTCTCTCAAGCCAAGTCGGCGCTGTCTGACAAACAACTGTATATGTTTTGGCTTTGTGGCAGTGCTGTAGCTGCAAAGCAGCAGTTTTTGCTGGTTCAGTCTCATGTTTCACCCACTTCTTCGGAGCGACCCGTGCACCATTCGAGCCGTTTCTCTTCCGTACCCGCGATTGCCAAGGTGCAGGGGGAGACTGCGGCCAAGCTGTTGTTGGCTGCCAGGGATCCTAGTCACATCTCTCACAACACAAAATTATATGAGCCAGAATCAAAACCCGGGTAGATGAAGCTTACTAAAGGACGATCCGCCTTCTTAATTCCTTATCTGGGTAGAGCATTTGAGTACCGGGTTTTGATTGTGACTCATATGGCTGTGGGTCCAAAATATGTACCCCAAATGGGAGGGCCTGCCTCTTTGATAGCGTGTCCAAAAAATGGGTTGCCCCAGTAGGTGGAAACATGGACTAAAACCTGCTGTCCCCATACCCATATGCCGACACTTGCGGAGTGGCTATTTGCATGCTGCCTGTTCCAAGAAGCCCGGCTGGGCGCTCAAGATGCTGAGGATGCGCTTATGGTTGGCGGGAAGCTTCAGGAGGCTGGCTCTGTCACTGAAGGGCCTTCCCTTTGACTTGTGGACCATTAAGATCCAATTTATGTGTTCAGGGTGAGGCGAACCATGAATACCCACCAGTACCCCATGGTTTTTGCGTGAATTATGATCTTAGTCCATTGCTTTTGCCGTCGGAATTCCTTCCCGAGTGGAGACAAGACGCCTCACATCGTCCAGGCATACTGGCACTTGTCAAATTTGGCAAGCGAACGGAGAGCCTGCGGAGACGTTGAGGGAGAGGCGCGAATAATAAGACATCATCCAAGATATCCAACCATTTCCTCGGAGCAGCTTTGCATGTCGATGCGGGCGGAATCAGCATGTCGACGCTTGCATTCTAGTTCTGCATTATTTCTGGATGAAAGACGGAAATTGTCAGCCACTCTTCCTGGTGGCATTCGTTCTTTCCCGCAGGCTACAGCGCTGTACCACTGTTTCCGGGCTCTTCGAGATGCCGCGAGTTCAAGGCTTATTTTGTGCACAGGTCGGAAGGCTTCACCGCTTTCGCTTTTGGTGCCGAGGCACCGAGGCGGCCATTGGCACATTGCCCCGGGCTCAGGGCTTGCCACTGCAAAGGGAAAGGGTGCGACAGCGCTAAGGCATCAAGCTTTGAACCTCTACTGGAGCCTGTCAGACGGGCCCGCATCCCAGAATATCAGAATATCAATCAATATGGAAATCTGCTGGTGGCACGAGGGAGAGAGAGACGCGACATGCTGTAGAAATCAGTTACGAGCGAAGGCATGCGATTCTCAGAAAAGCCAAGGGTTGGCCCTCGGCCGAGTATTTTCCACTCAGTCCTGTACGCGGTCGCGAAGTTCAAAAAGGGGGCATCGCAAAGTCTGGGAAGCCCAACAAAGGGGTGAGTTCCTTTGGTTTCCCGCTAAACCAACCATCAAAGAGGTACCGTCAAAAAAAGCACCCAACGTGAAAATAGACAAATAGATTGAGCCACAGCAGCAGCTTTTGCTTCCGTGCGCTCAGCGTCTCCAAAGTAGTTTGCCAATCATTGCCAAGCATGTGTAGAATGCATATCCACACCCCCTTGGGGTCCGAAAATAGGGGGACGTCCGAAAGTTTAATTTGCATGTCCCATGTGTCCCTGCCTCCCCAAAAGAAAAACAACAAACAACAAAACAAACAAAACATAAGTTCAGACGTTCCCCCCCCCCCAAAAGGGTGGCTAGCAGTAGCAGCCGTAGCTTTGCAACGCCACCAGCGCGTAAGAAACAATTCCACGCGCGTAAGGTGGCGTAGGCTGGTGGCGTAAGCAGAATGATACGACATAGCAAATCATGACACGCTTAGGCCATGGCTCATCTCTAGTCCTCGAGCGATCGGGAGTGTCGTGATTGAAGTTGTTTGTCAAAGATGAAAAGGTTCTTGGTCCGCCCAAACAGCCCCAACTAAGCCAGTCCAGCGCTTTGCTGGGCCTTCAAATCGTCGACCAGGGCCTTTCTTGGAGACTTGAGGTCTGGGGCCACCAAGTGTTTGTACGCTTTGGCCGCAGGCTCAGCGAGATATTCAGCTTGGGGGCAAGGAGTAAAAACCTTCGTCGCAACTCAGCGAGAGAGAGAGAGAGAGGGTTTCTACCGTTCCACCGCGCTCTTCCATGTTCTATGTACTACCGGCATCGCTCACTGGAAACTACGGCGACCATTGCTTTAGCTCCAACAATCCTGCAAGCCAAACAAAGCATTCCCAGGATACCTCTTGGCCCTGAGCCCTAGGCGCTTGGAAGGACTATCTAAAGGCCTGAAACAGTTGGGCCGCTTCCAAACTATTACGTTTGCTCGCGGATTTGGAGGATTCGCTTTTCAAGAAGTGATTCGTGGGGAGCCGCGAAAACGAATCAATTCCATGTTCAGAAAGCTATTTTGCTAGCAATTGCTGCGGCTTCCGGCATTGCGATATTGGTTTCTTTCCGTTTGGCTTCCCCGCCTTCCCCGGGCTCCAAGAAGGCACACCACACCGATTAGGCGCAGCTCCACCTGTCCAGCGGAGATGCTCCAGCCCCTTGCATGGCTTGAGCATAGCCGGAAGCTGGCGTCGTGCGTCCGGAGGGTTCTTGGTTTCGATCCGTGCTGCTTATTTGCTGTCCCTCGGAATCACTGTGTGTGTGTGTGGGGGCATGTATATTACATATATGTACATAAATGTGTCATACAGTATGTCGTTTTATGTGATATGCAAAGTGTGGCGGAACATATGGAAACGCAACCTCGTGTCACTGCGTTCTTGTTTCTTTGCGTCATGCCTTGCTTTCTTACTCGTCTCTTTGCTTCTTTTCTCTGCTCGACCACCTGGGACCTGGAAGGTGAAGTCAAGCAGTCAAGTGGCCTGCCGCTCGGCCCGCCAGGCGGCTCTGAAAGCCCTGGCAGAAGTCCTTGGCATGGTGAGGCGGTATCGGCGCAAGCAGCGCATGGAGGCGCCCTGAAGCTGCCTTGGGACCTGCAAATGTCGGTTTGGCGGAGAAGGGTGGGGAAGTTACTCCAAAAACAGCCATAGCCACGCCCTGGTTTAGTTGAATCAATATTTGCCGACAAGCGTTCAACAAGAGAGGCTCACTGTGTGGGGGCAATGGTCACTGATCTCTTTGATGATTGAGCGGGTTGTTGCAATGACCTTGCGCCCCTGCAAACCCAGTGATCACTCCGGTGACTTGACAAGTTGACCATGCCACCTCACTCCAGCTTGCCAACCTGAGCGTCAAACTGTCAAACAGCTTGTGCCCAAGCTAGAAGGGGCTGTGGGTCAAGAACCTATTTTACTGGGGATTGGGATGTTCACTCTGGGGGTCCCGGGTTTTGACCCATGGCCAAGGTAGTATCCTAAATCCTGAGGCCACCTAGCGGCGAAGCTGTTGCACAGCTAGGATGGCACACACATGTTCGTCCAAGATCCGCAGTGGGGTGGTAGAGCGAGGCGTCTGCTATCTTCTGCTCAAACTTGGTCTGAATACTGCAGCATGTTGATTGGACAACTTTGGGAGCAGCGGGCGGCCCCCTTGATATGCTTTTTAAGGTTTAGGCACACATACGCACCCAGCATCAAACCGCAGCATACCGTGTTTGTCGTTTGGCCCTGGCTCAGGCGTTGGTGCTACAGTTGGCTGCCAAGGCAATGCTGGCTGTGCCGGCAGCCGAGGTTCAGGTGGGCGTGCGATGTGGCTTCGCGAGTCGGCATTTTGCCGCCAAATCTTGGGACGGCGGGGTAGGGGGCTGCGCCGATTTCTGTCTGCAAAGGGCTCAGCCGAGCAGCCCACAGCAGTCAAACTTCAGCAAGACTCAACTTGTCGACTTCTAGCGGTATATGGCTTTGCTGGCCTTTGCCACCATGTTTGACCCCTCACTCCATACACCACGTTCTGTTTCCAATGGTTGGCCAGAATGGTTCGAACTCATGTTGGGATTCCACGCTTAAGCCTTGCTCTCGAAAGTGTCCACCACATTTGTGGCATTGGCAATGCGTGCTCCACCTCTTCCCGGCCATGGGCAGAACAAATGGAGGACTGCCAGACATTTGCAAAAGAGTGCAGCTAACTTGCCACAGAATCTGATCAAAGGCGCGGCTCGGAGCTTCGAACTCGAAAAGCGCGCTGAGAGGAGATAAAGCCGGACACAGAAGTTCACCAGGCCGGGCGGAGTTTTGAAGTTCGACATCCCAGACTGTTCTATCGCTAAGTGGCAGCCACGGGGCTCGAGCCAGCTGAGCAGCTTGCCGCAACGAAATGTCGCAGAAGGATGTGCAGGTCCAAAAGGCTAAGCAGCTCCATGATTCCATCCAGAAGATGACAGAGGACACCGAAGGGTTGGACGGTGCGCGTGCCTGAGGTTGGGCCCCCCCCCCCGCCACCAAAATTCACAGCCCTCACCTAGTCCGCGAGGAGACGGAGAAATTGGAAGCAGAGGTGAAGCAGCTTGCGGAGGAGTGATTTGATGGTTTGACTTGTGTACAGTAAGGATCAGTGATGGTGACTCAAACACCAAAAGTGCAACCAGGAGTCATCAACCCCTTGTGATACCAAAGTGATTCAGATCGGGTCGCGGGTTCGCTTCGGTCCTAGTTGCTGGCTCGCTTCGGTCCTAGTTGTCATCTCGCTTCGGTCCTAGTTTCCTTACTCGCTTCGGTCCTAGTTTCTTCGCCGTTGACTATGGTGTTTGAGAGGCAACATCCTTGTCGACCCCACCCCACCCGGCATGTCTTGTTGTTAGGTGTTTGAGAGGCAACATCCTTGTCGACCCCACCCCGCCCGGCATGTCTTGTTGTTAGGTGTTTGAGAGGCAACATCCTTGTCGACCCCACCCCGCCCGGCATGTCTTGTTGTTAGGTGTTTGAGAGGCAACATCCTTGTCGACCCCACCCCGCCCGGCATGTCTTGTTGTTAGGTGTTTGAGAGGCAACATCCTTGTCGACCCCACCCCGCCCGGCATGTCTTGTTGTTAGGTGTTTGAGAGGCAACATCCTTGTCGACCCCACCCCGCCCGGCATGTCTTGTTGTTAGGTGTTTGAGAGGCAACATCCTTGTCGACCCCACCCCGCCCGGCATGTCTTGTTGTTAGGTGTTTGAGAGGCAACATCCTTGTCGACCCCACCCCACCCGGCATGTCTTGCTGTTAGGTGTTTGAGAGGCAACATCCTTGTCGACCCCACCCCACCCGGCATGTCTTGTTGTTAGGTGTTTGAGAGGCAACATCCTTGTCGACCCCACCCCACGCGGCATGTCTTGTTGTTAGGTGTTTGAGAGGCAACACCCTTTGCGTGTGTCCTGTTGTTAGTGCTCAAAAAGCTATCTTCCACTGCGCCTGAAGTGATCCAAAAATTGCGACAGAAGTGATCCGCAAATGCTCAAACTACGACCAAAGTGAGTGGATTTCAGCTGCGACCAAAGTGATCCAAAAACTGCGACCAAAGTGATCCCCCCGCCTTCAGATCGCCCCTCCCTTCCAGGGGCTCACGGCAATCCCTCAGGAAAAGGGGCAAGCGGAGAAGGAGTTGGCCGCCGCCACAGCGAGGATCCAGGAGATCCAAGGATCTTTGCCGCAGAAGGCTGGTGCTGGGGCAAATGCACACACGTTTCTAGAGCATTTGTAGGAGGCAACTCATGTGGAAAAAGTTGATCAGGTTGGAGCTGTTTTTTTGTTTTTTTGATCAGGGAATCACAAGCACCTTACTGTGCACCGGTTTACTGGTGGGGTAATTGTTACAATCCACCTGGATTCCCACCTCTAGTGAGAAGGTGCCCCGTCACTGCCTTCCAGCTTTCTTGGTTTCAGGTTTGTTTTTGCCTCGCTCGCGAGCCATGCCAGGCGGCAGAAGGTTGAACAAAAGGGACTTGACAAAACATTTTGCGATCGGATTTGGCAAAATTGGTGATGGGACAACTGCTGTAGCCTTGCTTTCCACGCCCTGTGAACAATGGGTGCCAGATGCAGCAGCTGCAGCACTTGCAGCAGCAAGAGCAGCAGAAAGAGGCAGAATACATGAGGATGCTCGAGGCAGGTTGCATTGTGTGCAGCTTGCAGCGTTGGCGGGTGCAAGTGGGTGCAAGGCTGCGCCGACTTTGGTGCAAGTGCTGAAGAAGTGAGGCTTCAGCAGGCTTGCGTTGCCTGACCATCGTTTCTAACATGACAAAAGTTGGTTGCCCTCCAGATGATGACTGCCAGTGATGGAATCGAATGAACTCCAGCTCCATGTCGTTTATCACAACGTGGGGGCAGCCCTGGCGGGTAGAAGTGCTTTAAGAGCATGTCTCCCGCTCGTTCGACGCTTGGCTCCAAAAAGCTGCGCGAGTTGTGCGTTCGGATGCCTCAAGAAGGTTCAAGGAAGAAGAACAAACCATCTGCTATTTTTGCGGTTGTCGTTCTAGCTTATTTCCTCCACAACTGGGTTGCACTGTGCCTTGAGTAGCGTTGAAGCTGGAGAGGCGAGGCCCGAGCGCGCCAGGCGAAGGGCAAAGGCAAGGGGCCGAAGGGCCCTGCGCCAAAGAGCAAGGGCAAGGGCGGCAAGGGGAAAGATGAGTCACAGGCGGGTAATATGGGCAAGAGGTGAGTCATGTTTCCAATGAGCACATTTATAATATGCTGCAACTTTAGACTTTAGAGCCTCCGGCTCAGTCTGCCGACATTGTCCTCTCCCTTTTCTCCTCCTTCCTCTCTCCCTTGTCTCCCTTGTGTGTTCTGTCGTCCTCTCTCCCTCCCTCTGCTCCCCATCCCCCCCATCCCCCCAAGCCTCTCTCTCCCCAATCTCCCTCTCTCGTATGTATGTATGTATGCATGCATGCATGTAATGTATGTATGTATGTATGCATGCATGCATGCATGCATGCATGCATGCATGCATGCATGTATGCATGCAATGTATGTATGTATGTATGTATGTATGTATGTATGTATGTATGTATGTATGTACGTACGTATGTATGTATGTATGTATGTATGTATGTGTGTGTGTGTATGTGTGTATGTGTGTATGTAATGTATGTATATATGCATGAATGTAATGTAATGTAATGTAATGTAATGTAATGTAATGTAATGTAGCGTATGTATGTATGTATGTATGTACGCATGTATGTATGTATGTATGTATTAATGTATTAATGTATTAAAGTAATGTATGTATGTATGTATGTATGTATGTATGTATGTATGTATGTCATGTAATGTAATGTAATGTAATGTAATGTAATGTAATGTAATGTAATGAATGTATGTATGTAATGTATGTATGTATGTATGTATGTAATGTATGTATGTATGTATGTATGTATGTATGTATTGTATGTATGTATGTATGTATGTATGTATGTATGTATGTATGTATGGAATGTATGTATGTATGTATGTATGTATGTATGTGTATGTATGTATGTATGTATGTATGTATGTATGTATGTATGTATGTATGTATGTAATGTAATGTAATGTAATGTAATGTAATGTAATGTAATGTAATGTAATGTAATGTATGTAATGTATGTATGTATGTATGTATGTATGTATGTATGTATGTATGTATGTATGTATGTATGTATGTATGTATGTATGTATGTATGTATGTATGTATGTAATGTAATGTATGTATGTATGTATGTATGTATGTATGTATGTATGTATGTATGTATGTAATGTATGTATGTATGTATGTATGTATGTATGTATATGTATGTATGTATGTATGTATGTATGTATGTATGTATGTATGTATGTATGTATGTATGTATGTATGTATGTATGTATGTAATGTATGTATGTATGTATGTATGTATGTATGTATGTATGTATGTATGTATGTAATGTATGTATGTATGTATGTATGTATGTATGTATGTATGTATGTGTATGTATGTATGTATGTATGTATGTATGTATGTATGTATGTATGTATGTATGTATGTATGTATGTATGTATGTATGTATGTAATGTATGTAATGTAATGTAATGTAATGTAATGTAATGTAATGTAATGTATGTGTATGTATGTATGTATGTATGTATGTATGTATGTATGTATGTAATGTATGTATGTATGTATGTATGTATGTATGTATGTATGTATGTATGTATGTATGTATATGTATGTATGTATGTATGTATGTATGTATGTATGTATGTAATGTATGTATGTATGTATGTATGTATGTATGTATGTATGTATGTATGTATGTATGTATGTATGTATGTATGTATGTATGTATGTATGTATGTATGTATGTATGTATGTATGTATGTATGTATGTATGTATGTATGTATGTATGTATGTATGTATGTATGTATGTATGTATGTATGTATGTATGTATGTATGTATGTATGTATGTATGTATGTATGTATGTATGTATGTATGTATGTATGTATGTATGTATGTATGTATGTATGTATGTATGTATGTATGTATGTATGTATGTATGTATGTATGTATGTATGTATGTATGTATGTATGTATGTATGTATGTATGTATGTATGTATGTATGTATGTATGTATGTATGTATGTATGTATGTATGTATGTATGTATGTATGTAATGTATGTATGTATGTATGTATGTATGTATGTATGTATGTATGTATGTATGTATGTATGTATGTATGTATGTATGTATGTATGTATGTATGTATGTATGTATGTATGTATGTATGTATGTATGTATGTATGTATGTATGTATGTATGTATGTATGTATGTATGTATGTATGTATGTATGTATGTATGTATGTATGTATGTATGTATGTATGTATGTATGTATGTAGTATGTATGTATGTATGTATGTATGTATGTATGTATGTATGTATGTATGTATGTATGTATGTATGTAATGTATGTATGTATGTATGTATGTATGTATGTATGTATGTATGTATGTATGTATGTATGTATGTATGTATGTATGTATGTATGTATGTATGTATGTATGTATGTATGTATGTATGTATGTATGTATGTATGTATGTATGTATGTAATGTATGTATGTATGTATGTATGTATGTATGTATGTAATATGTATGTATGTATGTATGTAATGTAATGTATGTAATGTAATGTAATGTAATGTATGTAATGTATGTAATGTATGTATGTATGTAATGTATGTAATGTATGTAATGTAATGTAATGTATGTATGTATGTATGTATGTATGTATGTGTATGTATGTATGTATGTAATGTATGTATGTATGTATGTATGTATGTATGTATGTATGTATGTATGTATGTATGTATGTATGTATGTATGTATGTATGTATGTATGTATGTAATGTATGTATGTATGTATGTATGTATGTATGTATGTATGTATGTATGTATGTATGTATGTATGTATGTATGTATGTATGTATGTATGTATGTATGTATGTATGTATGTATGTATGTATGTATGTATGTATGTATGTATGTATGTATGTATGTATGTATGTAT